TGGATGTGGAGAACTTTATATGAAATATGAAGCAATATTATTGAGTTATGGATATTGAGGAAAATGTCGATAAGGTAAATATTATTAGTATTTATTTAACTGATATTACATTGTTATCGTGACTTCATTGATGCTCCGATAAGAAATATGAAGGTACTTCCATTAGAATCTGTGGAGAATTTTAATTGAAGTTTAAACAACACGTTTTTCAAGAATATGTTGAAGATAAAATTCAGTCAAAGTTGAGGTGTCTTAAACATGATAAGTCAATTTCGTCAGCTCGTGCTTAGATATGGTAATTTCACTCGAGCTCAATAGGTTTCAACTTAACCCGGTCTGTTCAGGTCGGTTTTTTATTTTGAAAATTTGAGTTCGAGTTCGATTGGTTTTAGGGTGAAATAAATCTTACCCAATTCGGACCAACATAATATTATAATTATTCTTTATATATTCAGGGATAATTACAATAATATCTTTTCTATTTTTTTTAATTAGGTCCTTATTTTACCTAATAACAATTAATTTATATAAAGAGAGATTGGGTTGGGTTGGATTTTGATTTTGATATGGGCATGGGTTTTAACCTAAATATGGGGACGAGTTTCAAATCGGTGGAGCCCTCCTAAACCCAAATCGGGTCAGGTACGAATAGAGGGTTTTAATTTTCTGGTCAGATTTGGGTGGGTCAAAAATTTGATACGTTACCATCCCTATTCATGTTACAAGTCTTGGACATGAGTTACGAAAATGTCATATTCACATTTATGGATGGTTACAATGGTTAGATTGATTGATCAATCGAACACTATCAAGAGATGTTGAATTGAGTTTTACAAAATTTGGTGGAAACTTGATAAAAATAAAAACTTTTGGCATAATTGATTTAGAGTGGTTTGACTTTATCAACTAAGGTCTATATACTACCTTAGCTTTCCACTGCTAAGGATTTCCCAATTCATTAACTTGAATTGAACTTTTCAAGGACAATGTTTAACTGTTACAACACTATTTTTTCAAGTCTTAGATAGAAACCTCCCCTATCTTTTAGGATAGCTAAGATAGGACCACTCTAGCTTTTTTTTAAAGCTAAACGAAAACCACTCCCTTTTACAATGTTTGATTTGTGTAAACAAGGGATACCTCTCTAGATGTGTAACATCCCAAAACAAGAGCAAGTGACTAAAATAGAAGTTTTGAAAACTTAAAGTCTGATTTTGAAAGATTTGAAATATTTTTTATTGTTCAGTAAATAACTGATGGAATAAGGGGTATAATGGTCATTTGACAAAGAAATATTTTTATTTTCCCTTATAAAAGAAGTAGACACATGGAGAGGAGAAGAAAAATAAGAAGACTCTAGAGATGCTTGGCTTTCTTTTTCCTTTCTTCCCGTGGCTCCATTGGTAAGGTAAGATTATGTCAAGTGATTGTTTTCTTTTAATTTGAAGTTGGGTTTAATTCTTGAGATGATAATTAAGCTTAAGGAAAGCTTAATTTATCTTAAAACCATAAGATGAAGGAGTTAAGAGAGATTAAAGATTAGAAGTTTTTATAAGAAATTTTGGAAAAGATTTGATAAGTAGAATTTGAAGTTAAATTTGACTTGTCAAAGGGTTAATTAAGAAGTTAGAGGTGATAGAATTGAATTAAGAACACATGGAAAATTTGATGAAATTCTTTGATTCAAGAATTATGGTGAATTATGAGAGATGATGAAGTGTTATAGTGTTATAAGAAGGTTTACATATATATATATATATAAGTTTTAAGGTATAAGGAGATTTTAATAAGTAGAATTTGAGGACAAAGTAAGACATTTTCGTGCTCAAAATGGAATTTTTGGGTTGTGTGCATCGAGCATCTTCAATGTGTATCGATGCACTCTCAAATAAATAAACATCGAATGCAATTAGTGCATCGATGCATAAGAAGTGCATCGATGCACCCCCTTAAAATGAAAACATCGAATGTAATTTGTGCACCGATTCATGGATAGTGCATCGATGCACATGTTAAGGAATGCATCGATGCACTGTAGAATGTACTGATGCACTTCAAGGGGAAATAGAATTAGACATTTCTTGTGGTCTAAGAAATGATAGATTAAAATACATCAATTGGATACTGATATTTATCAATGTATGATTATGTAGATATCGAGCACGAACAAGTTCCAGGACGACTATCAGGTTAAGATTCGATCGAAAGAAATGAATCATAAAAGGGGATTGGAACTTAGTGAGGCCAAGGTGAGTGCATACTATTGGAATATATGTATTTCTACATGGGAATTAGACTTGTGATAAGTCTGTTCCCGATATTTTGAATATATGATAGCATGAGTCCAAGCATGATTAGGATTGTGTACTATGTGAATGTGCCATGCTTGCATTACATGTTATGTGATGTGTATTTATGTGTTATATGATAATGATTTAGGAAACAATATAGGAATATTATTTGAGTTAATAATAAGTCATAAGATTGCATGCATATGTAATATAAGTTATAATATGGGAAAATATGTATTTTATATATATATGAGAAGATATAAAAACAAGAAACAAGTCAAGTGATAAAGGAATATGAAATTGTATGAAACATGACATAAGCTATGTGATTAAATGAGAAATGATATGAGCACATGTATATGTGATTATGAATGACAGGAATATGAGAAAAGGTATATGTGACATAGGAATTATATGAAAGTGAACTACGTGACTATGTGATCATATGAAATGTGATAAGAAGCTATGTGCCTATGTGATAAGAATATGTGAAATGATATAAAGATAATGCCCATGTTATGTGTTATGAGATCTAGAGATATAGTTGGCATGCCAAGAGTCGAGGAATTATCAGTGGTCTTTCGGGACATAGTGGTCCTTTGGGACATAGTGGTTATTCGGGAGATAGTGGTCCTACGGGACAAATTCTACGCGCCCCTAGTGGGAATTTTACGAGCTGTGGTGACAGCATAGTGCACAACCTCTATGTACTCACGTATCTTTAGCTCTCAGAAATATTCATGGGCTAAATAAAGATATAACAATAAATATATTCCATGTAAAGAATATGCTTTTGTGATATATGATGATATTTGTATTGTTTGGTTTATAAATAATATATGTTGGTTAAAAAGGTTAGGACAAGAGGATATGATTAACATATATAAATATTTGTGAAGAATATGCTTTTGTGATATAAGATTAATGAAGTAAATGATGAGTGATTTGTATCTGTGTACATTTAATTATACGTAATGTTATATTGTTTTGTGTGATAACATGGTATGATATGTTCATGCATGGTTAAAAAGTTAGAGTTTCTCTTATAAGTTTAATGCCTCACTAAGTCATAGACTTAGCGTGTGAATGCTTCACACGTAGGTTTGAGAAGCGAGAATGAAAGTAGCGAGGAGCAAGATAGGTCAGTATCTTCCTTACGAGGATCATATCAGAAACATATTGAACATATGTATTTTGTTTATAGAGTTTAGTTTGCATGTAGTTACAAGATTTGAATTGAATATGCTCTGATCGTTTTAAAGAAACAATTTGATTGTAATTATTAATGTAAAGTACCTATTTTCTTAAATGATGAATTTAAGATTTTACGGAATTGTAAAGAACAAAGTTTTGAAAAGCTAATGTGACACCTCGGACTCGGATCCGGGTCGGATACGGGTTGGGGGTGTTACAAGATGAGTGTTTACAAAGATTATGCTCACAAAGTATGACTATAAAAGATATTCAATAAAGCTATACACACTATATACTAGACAAAAATGAAAGAATGAAGATTGAAACTTTTTTCTCTTGATCTTTAAGCTTGGACAAGTGTAGTAACCTTTTTAAGTGGCATTGAATTATTTATATAATGTGGAATGAGTTTCTAGCCATTTATTGTCGTTAGAGATGAGTTATAATTATTTGTGATGCAAAAATAGTCGTTACCTGTAAAGAAAAATAACTTTTATTACACAAGAGATCAATCCATTTCTGAAAGTGTTTGATCATTTTTCAAATATTTGACTGCTATCAACAAAGTGATCGATTTTTTCTTACAAGGGGTCCATTTTTTTCGTGAAAGGATCAATCATTTTGAGAAAGTGATCAATCCTTTTTAAAATTAGATCGGTCCACTAGCTACTGGAATCAAATGGATCGATACTTTGAACTAAAATTCCTAGAAAACATAAGTTTTAAGCTCAAAAACCATCAAGTAAATATTTGAAAAGGTATGAATAAATTCAAAAATATTTAAACCATATTTTGAAGGGCCAATCTAAGGCAAACTATGGCTTATTTTAGGCCAGTCCACTCAGTTTATTTTATACTACTTCTAATACCCACTTGACAGGTGATTTAAGCCCAACATGAATGAAACCTAATAATATCTCATTGCAAATGCATTTTCACAATCCTTGCATCAACACTAAGATGTATTAAATTCTATTTTCCATGTTCCACCAAAACAAGACAAAAATAGTGCAAGTTAGGTGATAGACGTGGATGGTTTTGAGGTGTTAGTTGATCATTTTTTAACAGAGAAGCTGCACCGTGAATCATTTACAGTTGACTAGTCTGAGTCAAATTATTCATCTCCACTATATTTATGAAGATGTTACATGCAACTGCTGCACAAATGCAAACTCTTTCCCTTTTCCAATCATAAAACTTGTATGACTTTGGAGCTAAAAAGGTGATTGAAATCTGTATACTATCTTCTTTAACTAGGGGTTTTCCTTTTGACACGCTGCCTCCAATTTATACAGTAAGCTTCTTTTGTTTTTGATTTCCTGATAATATGCAGTCTTTTTTCAGACTACTTTTTCCCTACATTACCTCATTCCTAGCTGTTCCAAGATATAACCAACTTATCAAAGTATCAATAATGCAAATTAGCAAAATATGAATAAATGTATTTAAACTTTATAAGTTAAAACCAACATACAGTAGTGATTCCCAAAGGGGAAACATTATTCCGATAGGAACAAAAATATTTATGTGGGCTACAATATGAACCCCATAACAAATATATCATGAACTCCTTCCTGGCCAGCCTTATACCGGCAATGCAGCTCTGCAAATGACTGAAAATACTTGTGATCACCGATGGAAGACCGATAACTGTATGTACACTCCTTTAGAAAATGACAGGACATTGTTTCGAACAAGGAATTACAATGGAATTGCGATTGAATCAATGAAATCCCCTTGAACTTCTTGACTGATACAGCTCCAGTCTACTTTTGGCCTCTTGTAAAAGAGCGTCTATAGTTTCATCCTGGGTCATGTAGGATTGCTTCGATGCCCATTCAAGCACCGTAAGTGCCTCGGCTTGGGCGAGTTCTTCGCTATCCGGTATGTGGAGGGCAATGTAGCATAGGAGAACCAATGCTGAGAGTTGAACGGTTTGTTCTCCGAAATACACAAGCTGAATCAAATGCTTTGCACCTCCTGCACTAATGATTGCCTTGGAGTGATCAAGGTGTAGGTAGTTATCGGTGCAAGCAAACTTGGTAAGTGCAATAGCAGCCTCCTTGGAAACCTCAGCTTCCCTATCATCAAGAAGTTTAACCAATGGGGCAATCATCCTTGTTTCGGTTGATCTAAACGTCCTGGCCAAATTACCAATAGCCTTGATACAAGGAATCAGCAGCTCCGAATCAGCCTTCTCGATAATCTTCAACAGCTGATCAACTACAAGCTTACAAGCATGAGAATTCGGTTTAAATGCAGACCTTCTCAACTCGGTATCCCGTGCTGCCACAGCAGTAATTTCCATTAATGCCATAGCCGAATTAAACTGCACATCATCGGTACCTTTTTCTAACAAAACTGCAAAACATAGCAATGCTCTAGACTCGGTGATACTCCGACATATAGACGAATTCTCCTTGGCAAGATGCCACAAAGCTCTAGCTGCCATTGCCTTCATATAAAACTTGGTAGCAGGATCTTCAAGTTCCCTTCCCTTCAAAGTCGCGCCGGATTGCTGTGGTTGATAATAAACATGATGAAATTGCTTCACATTGCCCTGACTGTTACTCCTAACATGATTATTACTCGGCTTTTGCGGCGATTTCGCCCCTCCCTTCATTGCCATTGTATTCGTAACCACATTGTGCATCTGATTCGGGGTTTGGTTCCCCATCGGATGCAGAATCGGACTCTGATGATCTTCTTCAACAGCTACTTTCACAGTGGCTTTATTACTATTCGCCATTACCACCCCGTGGATCAAGGTGGCCTTGTTGCTAGCAATAGCATAATTACTATGTTCTTGAATCGTTTCAAACGCCAAATGGCTAACGAGTAATCGGATTATATTATGCTGAGCGAATAAATCTTGACATTTTGGGTAATTAGCTGCCAGTTCAGACACCGCCCACGCCGTCACGGCTTGAACTTTCATAGGACCTTCTTTGAGGATTTTCGTAAACACCGTGCAAACGCCGGCGTGGATCATGTGCTCCACGCTTTCCGGGTCCTTACCCAGAAGCCCAATTGCTTTGGCGGCGTTTTCTTGACCTTCAATTTTCCCTTCCTTGAGTAATTTCAATAACGGTCCAACCCCTCCTTCTTCTATAATCAGTTTCCCGTAACGATCGTTGTCTCTGGCCAGGGAAACGAGAGAAGCCGCCGCGTCGGAGCGGTTGCCAAGTGAGCCGGTGTAAAGGATCGCGATTTGTTCCCATATTAGACATAAAATGGGCTCGTTTGCAGCGATCGGAGGAAGGCCTAAGTACTCATTGTCGCGATCGTCACCGGAAGCCGATACGCGCAGAAGCCAGGAGACGTCGCCGATTGAGTTCTCGAGCTGAGAAGACATTTTACGGAACGCGGTGGCGGGGATGATTGTAAACACGCGCTTCATAAGGCCATTGGCGCGGCATTTGAGGACCAAAGACAAGGCCTTATCGAGGACTTTTTCGGTATCATCGATGATGCGGCGCGTGGGACGTTCGTAAAGATCGGAACTCGCACGCGCCGCCTGCCGGAGCAAGCCAACGAGTTTCTCTGTCTTGGACTTAAGCTCCGCAGACTCTTGCTTGAACGAACTCGCTTCGTCCGCCGCTTTTGTCACTTGGTCCGCTAACTGAATTGGCTTTGCCAAGATTTGCTTCACTATATCTGCCATCAAATCAAACGAAAAAAAGGGTAAACTTTATGAGATCAAAAAATGGAAAAATAAATCAAATCAAAGAGAAAATGCCAGAGATTTCTTGGGTTTATGGCGTTTTGATGAGCGGAGGTAATGAGGGGGTTTTATGTAGTTTTTGCGTTATAAAAGTGGAGAGGAAGAAAGAAGAAAAGGGTGGTCATTCATGGCGGACGATATTTGTTACAAGGTCAAACGCTTCTTTATAGCCTTTGTGAAGGGAAATAGCTTTTACAAACATCACTGAAATTTGGGTATTTTTCATTGGAGAAAGTAGGACTTAATAATTGGACAAAATGTTGCTCTTCTTTTACTGATCAGATGAGAAATTGTTGCTCTTTTTTTTTTATTATTTCTGATTTTTATTTTCTTTTTTTATTCTGGCTCCTCAAAGTTTTATTTTAATTTATTTGTGTATTACACCTAATTTTAATATATGAATCTTCTAGTATATATATATATATATATATATATATATAATATATATATATGTACGAGACATCTAACTTGAAATATGTTTAAACAATATCAATTTATTTACCTGCTAATAATACAAAATTATTTCATTGTCAATAATACAAAAACTTGATTTACTACCATTGGATCACTATTATTTCAGATATGGTAATTATTTTAAAATATGTATAGTATAATAATTAATATCACTATAATTTCATAAATATAATGTTGTGCTTTAATTAGAGAATTCCTTTAATTAGATAGGAACGGGGATATCTCAACACTCTTGGTAGAGAGAAGGAAACTCAACCCTTGACGAAATAATGCAGGATGAGCAAAGGTATCTCTACGCTTTCAAAGAGATACTGTAGCGTGAGCTGAGAATATTCACCTTGATAGAAGAAATGAAAGGATTCCCTCGCTAGGAAAAAGACATCTCGATGATCCTTAAAACATAATGGAGGAACTCCTATTATAGTAACGGGTTAACTCGACCCCTTGGATGGATTCTATAAGTCGTAAGCTGGGGTAGAAGCAACTCTATGCCTTTATAAAGAGACTACAGAATGTGTTGATGTGTCTTAACACTTCTGGAGGAATGTTGTAGTAAGTGGGTGGAGGCATCTCGATGTCACTTATCCGTAATAGAGGCATATCAACTCTTATGACTAGATAATGAAGAGATATTGAAGAAATCATTTTAGTTAAAGTGTAGCAGAGATAGTTCAACGCTTTATCTAGAGAGAATGCATCTCAATACTTTTGGAGAGAGGCTATAAAATGAGCAAATGTACCTCAATGTTATGGTTTATATAACGGAAGATATTAACGTTCTTGAAGAGATCATGTGAAGATACTTTTGAAGGATTCCAACATTCAAATAAAGGAAGCAAAACTATGATGTTTATGTGCATTAAAAGTACTTCAACACTAATATGTATCAAGGGAATAGAGTTTTCCCTAGTAACTGTGTAGTGAGTAGTATAGAGAGCTATCGTGATAGGTCTTCCTGTCATCATAGGCTATATGTCAATTACTAAGGTGCGACTCCCTCTGTGTTTTATAAAATTCTTATTTCCTCTTCTTTAGTATACCAGAAAATACCTTCTGGATAATTCATACAGATGATTGATCCTTCTCTACTCATTGTTTACCAAGGTATACTTTAGAGGCTTGTGTCGAAGTTTAAAAATGTACGTGGAGACTGTTCAATCGTCTAAAAGGTCACATATATCATGTGTAACTCTATAGAATCTCCTCTTGTAGTGCATGAGAAGTTTACCATATCTCTGGACCATAATGGGCAGGCTAGTGTTTAAGCGGAGGAAAGCTTTGTTAGCCAAACATCGTTTGACGAACATACGTGATAAATGTTTGAAATCTCTTACAGTTGTCATGGGTAGAGAATCGTATCAATTTTTTGTTCTTATTCGCATAGTGATCGGGAAGACTTTACATTTTAGCTTGTTAAAAACTCCTATAATATCTATATGGTTTCAATATTGAGATAGGTATGCGATGAGGTCTTTGATTCCATCATAGGTCTCCTTGGACAATCTGAGGTGCGGAGGGTAGGAAACTGTCAACACATGGGGAATGAGAGGATTATGATCCTTTGTAGCCTAATTTTCTTTGGAGTTGTTTGAGGTTTGAAGATCATTGGTCTGCCTTTGCATGATTCATATTTGTTTCCTTTATTCTTTCTCTTTTGAGGTAATATGGTGAGGCACATTCAATGTTGACCCCCTTTGGGCTAGTCCTCGGGGGAAACCTCTATCATTCACAACATTCGCATGAGTAACAGTTGGTTCTAGATTACGTCTTTCTTTGGTAACTAAACTTTTAGGGGTAGATGACATAAGCAAGTGCGATCATGTCAAATCTGATCATAAACTATAAAATTTTTAGGGGTAAATTAAAAATTTAGTAACTAAACTTTACTTTCTCTCTTATTTCACTCATTGCACTTTAAATCTTTTCAATTTTCTCACTGAACTTAATACATTAAATTTTTTTTTGTCATTCAGTCGTTTTCTCACTAACGGCATTATAAATGGACTGCTATATATATGCAAAACGATGTCATTTCTGTGAAAATTTTATTTTTGTTAAAACGACATCGTTCTAATGCCCTTAACTATTTAACAGCAGAGTTAAAAAAACCCAATATATTAAGTTAAGTGAGAAAATTGAAATTTTTTAAAGTTCAACAAGAAAAATAGAAAAAAAAATCAGTGATGAAATTTGTAATTTATCCAAATTTTAGATTCTTTTGGAGATCCCAAAGGTTATAAATCACCAAATGATATAAAACTTTGGAAGAATAGCAGTAAAGATACAGTATAATGTAGACTGCGGAGGAAATATTTTACGGAGAAATCCGGAGTGTAATTGAGCCGTTTCATTATTTACCTATATTTTTAGCATCCTAATTTATGTGGCTTATATGTAATTCCCCATTCCTTGTAGAAAAAAAGAAAACAAGGTTGTCGTTATGTTTAAAACAGATAGAAAGAGTCCTCTATTCATTACATAATTTTGTTTAATTAATATATTATATATTGAACACATCTGGTGAAGAGGTTTCAACAATGAGTTGTTAAATGATTGGATTTCTTGAAAAGCCAGCGAAAACTATTGCCATTAATTCCAGATACAGAATTTTTCACAAAATTTTATGGCAACTTCTAAACCAGAATCTTCAATGCTGATTTTATGGACCCAATGCTTGATTTATATATACGGAGGGATTCTTTATAGTTTCAATGGAGACATTGTTTTCTTACTGCCAAATAATGTTTTGAAAAAAAAGGAATGATTTACCATTCAAATTCTGCATGAAATTAGATGGATCAAGAAGGCTCAATCTAGTAATCTTTTTTCAATGCATGCAACATTCATCATGAATTTAAATGGCTATATTTTTAGAATAATGCAGTTGAGTTTTTTATTTCGTAAAATAATGCACATTTGGTATTAGTTCTTCAAATGAAGTGATTGCTACAGTACACCGGGAAGTCGCACGGTGGTCCATGCGACCAAGGGGAGACGCTATGCCTACAAGGCGTCTCCCACCTCCACTGTGCCAAGACTGCCCGGCTTTCCATGCCACCCCTGCATGCCCCATGCGTTGCTACTACTTGGACCAAAAACCCCTAGGAGACGCATGGAAATCCATGCGACTCCCCCTGCATGCGAACCATGTAAAGGCTACCATCCATGTAGACTACGTCCTCAGGTAGCAATAATGATGCAACTATTGCAACAATAAGGGGACGGAGGAAGGGACGGTTGGGTTTTAAATATATATTTGGGGTGTAGGGATGGAGGGTTACACCGGGAGTGAAAGAAAGAAAGGGAGAAGAAAGAAGATAAAAGAGGAAGAAAGAAGAGAAAAGAGGAAGAAAGAAGAGAAAAGAGAAGGAAGTTAAAGTCGGTATGTGCTATATTATTCGACAAATTTAACCCGGTTAGTTTTCTTTTTTAAAATCTATATTATTTATAAAATAAGATGAATAATGTAGACGATAAATTTTAATTTGTTTGATTTATTAAAGAGATTATTTAATTAATTATTGTTGTTGAGTTCGAATAGAATTTAGTTTTAAAAAATAAATTATATTGAATTTAACTTTAAAATATAATAGATTAGGATTAAAGGAGAAGATGAGCAACAAGGTAATTTTTCGTTGTTATTGTTGTTTTTTACGAATTTTTTGATTGCATTATTCTAAAAATTCAGCCATGTATATGGTAAATTGGTTTAAATTTATGTTATTTCTCTGAAATTAGTGTAATAGTTTGTTAATTGTTTTTGTAGAACGAAGGTGAATTTAGTTTGAAGATATTTTATTTAAGGTATTTGACTATTGATTATTATGTTAATATTATTTTTATAAATATTTGTTATTTTTACGATTGTTGTTATATTAATATTATTTTTGTTATTCTAAACATAAATTTTGAATTTGTAGAGAAAATGAGCAACAAGTTTTTTACGATTGTCCATTATAATGGACATATTATGGAAAATGAGGTCGGAGTTGTTTTTCAGTCTGAAAGACCTATAAATATGATATTCAAAAGGGACAACACATTTGTAGAAATGAAGCATATGATAGAAAGGAAAATCTGAGTTACAATTGATGGTTTGAAGTACAAGTTCATGGTATGTCCCAGTCCAGATAGATATGATACAATACTAGTTGAAGAAGATGATGATATTGAAACCATAATTAGATTACACGAGTCAACAAATATTTTAGTTATTGAGTTATTTGTTGATGTGCATAAGATATTTGATGTTCCTATGTCATCAAGAAATGTGGCTGGAGATTCATCTCAAATGGCTTTCGGAAATGAGTTTGAAAACCCGACATACATATCAATAAACAATTTTATGACGCTATTGGAAAGTGGAAATAAAGTCGATAGAACATCCGCAGCAGCAGATATGATACAGTACTAGTTGAAGAAGATGATGATATTGAAACCATAATTGGATTACACCGAGTCAACAAATATTTTAGTTATTGAGTTATTTGTTGATGTGCATAAGATATTTGATGTTCCTATGTCATCAAGAAATGTGGTTGGAGATTCATCTCAAATGGCTTTCGGAAATGAGTTTGAAAACCCGACATACATATCAATAAACAATTTTATGGCGCTATTGGAAAGTGGAAATAAAGTCGATAGAACATCAGCAGCAGCAGAGTACAAGAAGAGAAACATATAGAACTCAGAATTGATTGTTGATGATGATGCTGAAAATCGA